ACCCTCAGGGTCAAACATTCCTTCTCTTTGGCCTCAATCTCCCTTGGTGGGTAGCTGGAGTCACCTCACCTGAAGCTGTGCCTCAGACACCCCTGAGTGGTCACTCCTTGTGCAGAAGGAGATGGCTCCTTCCAGAAGGGTGGCTGACAATGCCACCCCCCACCCGAGTTAACTCCTGCCTCTCATCTCACTGCCTGCTCTCTGTCCCTCCAGGGGGTCACGAGCTGGAACAGATGCAGCTTATTCTGGAGACAATCCCTGTTATCCACGAGGAGGACAAAGAGGAGCTGCTCAAGGTGATGCCCATGTTCATCAACAGCACGTGGGAAGTGAGGAAACCTCTGCGCAAGCTGCTCCCCGAGGTGGACAGTGAAGGTACCAGAGCACCCCTTGGCTTGGGCAGTGTCCTTCTCCTGGGACAGGGGAAGTGTTTTCAGACCTATTTCCCCAGGGAGGGGGGTCACAAGAATTGTCCTTTGACAAATCCTTTGACCTCACAAATGCCTGAGCTCCTTGAGATGGTTGCTGTAGGCAGAAGCGTTGTCCAAGGGCTCCAGGGCTTGGACATCACCCAACATCAGGCAGCCACAGCCTGCAGGGCTCAAACTGAAGGTTTTGGACCTGAACTTCTGCCTGGAGCAGCTTTGGGGGTGGTGAGAGAAGGGCTATGAGGGTGGAGGGGGGAGTGGAGCATCTCTGTGAGGAGGAAAGGCTGGTTAGCTTGGGGAGAAGACTGAGATGAGAGGGGATCTGATCAATGTCTAAGTCAAGAATATTCCTCTAATCAAGAGGCTGGGGCCAGACTCTGGTCAGTGGTGCCCAGCGACAGGACAAGGGGCAACGGGCACCAACTGGAACCCAGGAGGTGCCACCTGAGCAGGAGGAGAAACTTCTTTGGGGTGAGGGTGGCCGAGCCTGGAGCAGCTGCCCAGAGAGGCTGTGGAGTCTCCTGCTCTGGAGAGATCCCAAACCCACCTGGCTGTGATTCTGGGCATTCTGCTGGTGGTGACCCTGCTGGAGTGGAGGGGTTGGACAAGAAGATCTCCAGAGGTCCCTTCCAACCTTCACCACCCTGTGATACTGTGAGCTTGCAGGCCATCTGAGCTGAGCAGGGTGAACCAGAGCACATCAGCAGTTCTGAGCTCCTTCCAGGCACTGGTGGACCTGCCCACGTGCTTTTGGGAAGACGTCAAGCCCCAGCTTGGCTTACGTTTGTTGGCATAACTCTTCTTTACAAGATGTCTCCTTGGTCCCCATGGACCTGGGTCACGTCAGGCTCCGGCGAGCAGGGGTGGATTTATTCCCTGTCATAGCTGTGGGAGGAAAGGTCACCTGCTCCCCTTACAGAATTCATGGACATGTTCCTGCCTCTCTGACCCACCGTGTATCAGAAGATCTCTCTCGTAGGACGTCGTTCCACCCGTTGCCCCCACTCAGTGACCTTCTGAAGCTGTCGAGTCCTTCCGACTTAATTAGTCCAGACGATGAAACGGTCTCGTGGGAGACAATCAGCCCTGGGTTAATGTTTAAGCTCTGAGGCAGGAGTCTGGGCTGACCTTTCTGCTGGGTGGTTTTGCTCCTAAGAAACCTGTCTCCTTCACACAGCCACGTCTTTCAGGGGGTGTTTCTGAAGGTACCGTGTGAAAGCTGTGACTGGAGAAGGGTCTGATCCTGTTGGTGTCATCTGAACTCTGAGGGACTCTTCCAAGGATCCACTGAAAGAAGGAGCATTTTTAATCATAGAATCTCAGAATTGGTTGGGTTGGAGTAGACCTTTAAGATCATCCAGTCTAACTGTTAACCCCATCCCTGCCAGGTGTCCCTCACACCACATCTCCATGGCTTGGAAACCCCTCCAGGGGTGGGGACTCCACCACTGCCCTGGGCCAACCCTTGCCAGGGAGACATTTCTCCTCAGGGCCAACCTGAATGTCTAAATGTCCTCGTGGAATGGATCTGAGTGTGGAAAGAAATCCCAACAGCAGCCAAAGGTCTCTGTGGGCTACGAGCTCGGTGTTGGATGAGGAAAGGACAGAAGTGCCTCTCTTAGGTGGCCATGGGATGTGAGCTTTAATTCCTTCCTCACTTGGAGGGGTTTGATGCGGGGGATCCACGAGGCTCCCCCTTGGAGAGGAAGGTGGTGTTGCCGTTGAGGAATGACTGAACTTGTTTCTCCTCTGCTTCCCAGCTATTGATTTTCTGGAGAAGATCCTGACCTTCAACCCCATGGATCGCTTAACGGCCGAGATGGGGCTGCAGCACCCTTACATGAGGCCCTACTCCTGCCCCGAGGACGAGCCCGTGTCCCAGCACCCCTTCCGCATCGAGGACGAGATCGATGACATCTTACTGATGGAAGCCAACCACAGCCAGATGTCCAACTGGGACAGGTATGGTGGCCAAGGCTGGGCCAGAGACCACGGACTGCCTGAATTTCTGAAGTCACACACGTTCCAGGCTCACAAAAAACACTCATTTTTTCTTGCTTTACACAATATTTTAGTCCTAGCCCAGGCTGGCACCTTGCTGAGGCCAACGAGAGGTTCATCACTGATGTCCTCATTGAGTAGATGTTGAGTCTGCACGTTCCAGTGACTGGCTTTCTGCTCTTGGCTTTATTCACAGCATATAGTGTCTAATTTTGAGTTCCACCTGCCTAAGTTCTTCCCCCTGTCCCTCTAAGTTCTTTTATAACGTAATTCTTGTGCCTTTTGGGGACCAGACCTGATTTGGAGCTCTATATTTATCGCTTTTCCAAGTGTCTAAGCCCCAGAGGGCACAAATCTGGGGTCTTTAAAATAAATCCTTAATTGCATTGACTTTTAAATGGTTTGCTGAAAGGCACGGAGGAAGTTCAGAGCAGATCAATGCCTTGAGTTGAGGCCTCTCATGGCCTAGATGATTTTACTAAGCCAGGCCCAGTGCTGGAGCAGGTTGGACAAAATGAGCAGTGAAGGATTAACTGGGTTCACTTCTGGAGTGAACTGAGCAAGAAGATATCTGCAGCATCATTCCTAATCTAGAATCTCATCATTCCTCCTCTAGATCCCCTCAACTTCTTAATCTGCTAGATTTCATCAACAATGAAAAAAAATAATCTCAAGGAATCCATTTCCTTCACCATTCTTAAGGTTTTTGGGTGAAAAAGCATCAGGGTGGAGGTTGGGGCACACAACCAAGGTAAATTAGGTCAAGAGGAAAGCTGGAGGGTTTCCTCAGGAGATCTACCTTCAGTGTATTCCCACAGCTCTGGGGTCTTTGCCAGTTGTAGTCCCCAAATCAGCTGCTGGAGGTCACCTTGTCACCCTGTCATCTCTTGGCTTTTCTGTTTCTGGATGGGACACGAGAAGCTGGGAGCTAGACTGGTGGTCCTGCCACCCAGATGGGGACATTTGCTACAAGGGGGTGACTCCTTCCATGCAAGGCAAGTGTTTTAAAGGTGGGAAATGATCTTGCCTGGGTTGTGGGACACCTATAGAACGTTTTGTTGCTGGGACACAGAGCCCAGAGAACCCATCTTTTAAAGACAGCTTGGTCAGGAGCCAACAAATCAGTTGTCACTGTGAAAACCATGTCTGAGAGGGGGTGTTATCAGGTAGTTGCCATCAAAGGAGTTCCACTGGTGTGAGAAGTTAGCCCTGAGTGAGGTGACCCTTCAGGGAGGCTCTTGGTCCATGACAGAGTAAACTGGTGATGTCCAATCTCAGTGGGGATTGAAGCTCATCTTTTTCACTTCCATGACCACAAACGAGGAGCACTCACACCGTGGGCACCTCTCTGTGGGCTGAGGGGCAGTTTGATTATTAATCTTGTTAATCAAGTGTTAATCTCAAGTGGAGGGAAGGTGATGAAGGGCTAAGGAGCCGGTTGGTTTGGTTGTTGGGCTTTTACTCCCAACTGATCCTGTCCGTGCAGCCCAAAAAAAGCCTCAGCCTGCTCATAAGTTACTCACCCTCGTTTCTGCCCTTTTTAATCCACAAGACAAAGGTCTCTGAGGTTGATAAGGAGTTAAAGAGCTGGAGGAAAGCAGGATACGAGGCAGCAAAAGGTAAAAAAGGCCACAGCAATGTGTTTGAGCCCTGCCCTTCCTAACGAAGCCTCTGCCTGTGTTTGCAGGTATCACGTGAGCCTCTCCTCCGACTTGGAATGGAGACAGGAGAAACACCACGAGATGGATGAGGTACAGAGGGACCCTCGGGCAGGCTCCGAGTCCATCGCCGAGGAAGCACAAGTGGACCCCAGGAAATATTCCCAGAGCAGCTCGGAGAGGTTCCTGGAGCTCTCCCACTCCTCCATGGACCGAGTGTTCGACGCCGACTGCGGGAAGTCGTGCGATTACAAAGTGGGGTCGCCCTCCTACTTGGACAAATTGCTGTGGAGAGACAATAAACCCCATCATTACTCCGAGCCCAAGCTGATTTTAGATCTGTCCCACTGGAAAAGAGCAGCCATAGCCCCCGCCGCCGAGCTGGCGTTGGAAGAAGAACCATCCAACCTTTTTCTGGAGATCGCTCAGTGGGTGAAGAGCACCCAAGTGGGTCTGGAGTGTCCAAGCCCCCTTCCGGAGATTCAGGAACGGGACCTGCCCTCATCTCCTCACCACCTCCACCAGGAACCCGCGGAGGTGAGCAGCGAAACGGACCCTGAGTTTAACCTGGACGTCTTCATCTCCAGGGCCTTGAAGCTCTGCACGAAACCCGAGGATCTTCCAGACAACAAACTCAACGACCTCAACGGGGCCTGCATAGCCGAGCACCCCGGGGAGATTGTCCAGACAGAGGTGTACCAGAAGGAGAGGTGGTGAGGAACCCCCACCCAGCGGTGTCCCTCCTGTCCCTCTCTGGTGGTGTGGCCGTTGCCCGGGGCTGAGTGGCTTCCATGTGTCATTGACCATCCCTCCTTGGCTCCGTGCCCAACGCCTTTCGCTGGAAGAGGCGAGCGCAACCCCCCACGTCCCTTTTGATGCCTTAGAAATACCTTTAAGGGAATCAAGAGGTGTGAATGAAACACTGAGTTTCTTCTACTGCCTTAACACTCTTGCCTTGCAATCTCTGGGAGCTGTTTGCAACTTCAGTCTACGAGGGAAAGGTGATAGGGACGGGGTAAGTTGGCAAACAGGAGTCAAATCCACTTCTTTTCCTTTCTTTTTTCTTAAAATGAGGAGGACAAAAAGCAGCCTTTCCAGTACAGATACCCTCTTGGTTTGACGGGTCCCCAAAATTCCAGACTTTGAGCTCCTCTGAGGCACCCTGCGTGTGAGCAGAGCGGTGCAGAGGGAAGCAGTGTCCGTGGCCAGCAGACAGTGGAACTAAAGGTAGAGTTTGGCCATCAGGCAAAAACCCCCAACTCTTCAAGAATGTTCACGGGGAAGGAATTCGACCTGCAAAATCCACTTGGGATTTTAATTTTTTCTGATCAGAGGACAAAAATTTGTGCTAAGCGGATTCTCCTCGTTGGGTTTCTCACACACAAGTTCTCCTTTCTGTTGCACGGGGCAGATCTGAGCTCTCTGAGTACTTAGGAGACATTTCCCTCTGACAACCCTGTCCTGTCTCAGGTGGCTGCCCAGCAGACCAGCAGATTCTGGTGGTGAGGGCTGGCCAGGAGTGGAGAGCTAGAAACAGGGTGTCTGGAGGGACACCACCACCTACCCCGACTCAGCAAGGGCCCCACCTTGGCTGATGGAAAAAAAAGGAATGAAAACATGACTCTTTTAACCTTCTACAGAGATGCTGGGAAGAAAACAACAGTTCCTGTGGCATGAAATCCTTGACTGGCCACTTCTTTGCCAGCCTCTCCCCAAGCTGCTGGTGCCAGCGAGCAACCGGGTTTGTAAATAGTCCCCGACGCACCCTCTGGTTTCATCCACACCTCTGAGCACCTGAAGAATCCATCAGCTAACGAGTTTGTCTACAGAAGAGACGTTCTAGACTTAGATTTCCTCACACTGGGCAGGTTTGCAGCTAGAAAAGCCTGTCAGTAGTGGTGGCAGAACCAGCCTCTGCCTCCCTCACCGCGGCGTCACCGCGCTCTCCTTCATCCGTGACGAGAAGCTGCTGCACTTGGTACCTCCAAGGTCCATGTTGAACTGCTGCTCCCGTGCCATTTATTTCCACCCTCTTAACAAGCCATCTCCTCAATGTTCTGAGATGGGACGAAAACTTGGATGCCACCTAACAGCGGCGTTTACTGCTTTAACCCTGGTTCCTGCTCTTGGTGGGATCAGCTCTAGGTTTAGCTGTAGTAGGACAGCTTGTGCAAGGCGTTGACAAGCCCAAAAACTCGTTCTCCTCGTGGAGAGCTCTCCTAAGGCTGGTTGGAATGTCGTTACTGCAGCTGATTAGCAGCATAGGTGTGAAGGCTGCAGGCTGCATGGGGTGGAAGTCCTGGGGCAAGGGTGGAGAAAGCATCTGGAAGGCAAAGGCATCGGAGGAGGCATCTAGAAAGGAAAGCCATCAAAGGAGGCATCTAGAAGGCAAAGCCATCAGAGGAGGCATCTAGAAGACAAAGCCATTGGAGAAGGCATC